TGAATCAGATGCCAATCCCTTTGGTCTCCTCTCATCGTTGGTTGGGAGTCCCCTTAGATGCACCATTCTTGACAGGGAAGAAACACATAGCGGCCCTCCACCTCTCATGTGCACATCACATTGCACTTATGCGCCAGATCTCTGGCACCAAGTGGAGGCGGATCGAGACCTCCTCTATAGGTTCTATACAGCTATGGTTCGCAGCAAGCTCACTTATGCGAGTGAGGTGTATGGCTCGGCTTCTTCCTCCTCTCTTCATCGCTTAGACATTCTCCAGAATTCAGCCATCCATAATGTGCTGGAGGCATTCCCCTCCACCATCGCAGCCTTGGAGGCAGAGTCAGGGATAGACCCTGTCTCTCCACAGATGTGAGAGACAGCATTCCTTTGTAGCCAGGGCCCAGCATTCCCTGACCTGCCTTACACTTTGTGTGCTTGTGATGACACCCTTCCCTCTTCTCTCTCCGGTCCCTCCCCTGGATGGACCTGACGCGATACATTCACCTGGATTGGCACTACAGGAACAGGGAACCCCCTCAGTTAGTTGCATTTCTATTTGAAGAGTTTCACTCTGTTACATATGGCTCTTCATTCTCCGTCTACACGGATGGCTCGGCACGGACCTCCCCCCCTTCCACATCCTCTGCGGCCTTCTTCACTAATCTCTCCTTGTGTCAAACGTGGCGGTTGGGCCCTGCTCATTCTGTTCTGGCAGGGGAGCTCTTCGCCATTCACCAGGCTCTGGCTTTTGTCCTAGATCACATTGCCCCACAACCATTGGTTCTCTTCTCTGATTCCCAATCTTTCTTGGCACTTTTGTGCTCTGCCCGTCCACGGTCACTGAGCGTCCTCATTCGTCGGACACAATCTCTCCTCCTGCGGTTCTTGTGGAGCCCAGGTTGGAGCATCTCCCTTCAGTGGGTACCCCGCCCATGTTGGAATCCGGGGAAATGAAGTGGCAGATCGGGCGGCCTCCCTTGCGCACACACTTCCTACTATTACCCCTCTTTCCCTGAGCCACAGTGATTTCACAAGGGCTGTTTGGAAGGGAATCTGTCATCAGTGGCAAGAGGGCCTGGCACACTCCCTCTCTTCTTTGGCGTTGGGCTCTGTCCGAACTTTTAATGGCCCCTGCCTTTGGGCTCGCCATCCCAACCGCTCGGTGGATGTTGTACTGACTCGCCTTTGAGTCGGGCACTCGCGACTCATCTGTACCACCTTCGGATGACGGACTCTCTGTACTGCCCGTGGTGTCCCTCACAGCCTGAGACGGTGGAACACTTCCTGCTGTTGTGCCCACATTATCACTCTTCACGGACTACTCTCTGTGCGGCCGTGCGCACGCTTGGAGTGCACACTTTCACTCTACCTGTCCTTCTCAACGAGGAGGGGTTTCGCCCTCCGGACCGTCAGGAGATATTGGCCTGTACCTGCTCCTTCCTGCTGGCTTCAGGGCATATCAGGGACATACGATACATAGTTATTAGTCAAAACATTCTTCCACTTTGGTCGAAGTCCCCTCTCCTAGCACTGGACGGCCAGGCTCAATACAGCATATGCTGTCAGTGGCCCTGAAACCCAACAGAAGAAGAAGTGAAAGTGTATAAACTAAGGGAGGAGGATGTTCGGGTGAGATATAAGCAACTATTGGCAGAAAGCTGGGCTGGTGCAAGTATGAGTAGTGGGGGAGTTGAAGAGGGTTGGAATAGTTTTAAAAATGCAGTATTAGAATGTGGGGCAGAAGTATGTGGTTATAGGAGGGTGGGTACAGGAGGAAAGAGGAGTGATTGGTGGAATGATGAAGCAAAGGGTGTGATAAAAGAGAAAAAGGTAGCTTATGAGAGGTTTTTACAAAGCAGAAGTGTTGTAAGGAGAGTAGAGTATATGGAGAGGAAAAGAAAGGTGAAGAGAGTGGTGAGAGAGTGCAAAAGGAGAGCAGATGATAGAGTGGGAGAGGCACTGTCAAGAAATTTTAATGAAAATAAGAAAAAATTTTGGAGTTAAACAAGTTAAGAAAGCCTAGGGAACGAATGAATTTGTCAGTTAAAAACAGAGTAGGGGAGTTGGTAGGTGGGGAGATGGAGGTATTGGGTAGATGGCGAGAATAGTATTTTGAGGAACTTTTAAATGTGACGAAGAAAGGGAGGCGTTAATTTCATGCACTGGCCAGGGAGGTATACCATCTTTAGGAGTGAAGAAGAGCAGAATGTAAGTGTGGGGGAGGTACGTGAGGCATTACGTAGAATGAAAGGGGGTAAAGCAGCTGGAACTGATGGGATTATGACAGAAATGTTAAAAGCAGGGGGGGATATAGTGTTGGAGTGGTTGGTACTTTTGTTTAATAAATGTATGAAATAGGGGAAGGTACCTAGGGATTGGCGGAGAGCATGTATAGTCCCTTTATATAAAGGGGAAGGGGACAAAAGAGACTGTAAAAATTATAGAGGAATAAGTTTACTGAGTATACCAGGAAAAGTGTATGGTAGAGTTATTATTGAAAGAATTAGAGGTAAGACAGAATGTAGGATTGCGGATGAGCAAGGTGGTTTTAGAGTGGGTAGGAGATGTGTAGATCAAGTGTTTACATTGAAGCATATATGTGAACAGTATTTAGGTAAAGGTAGGGAAGTTTTTATTGTATTTATGGATTTAGAAAAGGCATATAATAGTGGGTAGGGGAGCAATGTGGCAGATGTTGCAAGTACATACATGTATATGGAATAGGTGGAAAGTTATTAAATGCTGTAAAGAGTTTTTATGAGGATAGTGAGGCTCAGATTAGGGTGTGTAGAAGAGAGGGAGACTACTTCCCGGTAAAAGTAGGTCTTAGACAGGGATGTGTAATGTCACCATGGTTGTTAAATATATTTATAGATGGGGTTGTAAAAGAAGTAAATGCTAGGGTGTTGGGGAGAGGGGTGGGATTAAGTTATGGGGAATCAAATACAAAATGGGAATTGACACAGTTACTTTTTGCTGATGATACTGTGCTTACGGGAGATTCTAAAGAAAAATTGCAAAGGTTAGTGGACAAGTTTGGGAGTGTGTGTAAAGGTAGAAAGTTGAAAGTGAACATAGAAAAGAGCAAGGTGATGAGGGTATCAAATTGGGGAGGAGGAGTATGGAAGAAGTGAATGTTTTCAGATATTTGGGAGTTGACGTATCAACGGATGGATTTATGAAGGATGAGGTTAATCACAGAATTGATAAGGAAAAAAGGCAAGTGGTGCGTTGAGGTATATATGGAGACAAAAAACGTTATCTATGGAGGCAAAGAAGGGAATGTATGAAAGTATAGTAGTACCAATAGTCTTATCTGGGTGTGAAGCTTGGGTTGTAAATGCTGCAGCAAGGAGGCGGTTGGAGGCAGTGGAGATGTCCTGTCTAAGGGCAATGTGTGGTGTAAATATTATGCAGAAAATTTGGAGTGTGGAAATTAGGAGAAGGTGTGGAGTTAATAAAAGTATTAGTCAGATGGCTAAAGAGAGGTTGTTGAGGTGGTTTCGTTATTTAGAGAGAATGGATCAAAGTAAAATGACATGGAGAGCATAGGGGAAGGAAGGCGGGGTATTGGTCGTCCTCGAAAAGGTTGTAGGGGGTGGGGTACAGGAGGTTTTGTGGGAAAGGGGCTTGGACTTCCAGCAAGCGTGCATGAGCGTGTTAGGAGTGAATGGACATGAATGGTATTTAGGACGTGATGAGCTGTTGGAGTGTGAGCAGGGTAATATTTAGTGAAGGGACTTAGGAAAACTGGTTATTTTTATATAGCTGGACTTGAGTCCTGGAAATGGGAAGTACGTACAATGCCTGCACTTTAAAGGAGGGGTTTGGTATATTGGCAGTTTGGAGGGATATGTTGTGTATCTTTATACATATATGCTTTTAAACTGTTGTATTCTGAGCACCTCTGCATAAACAGTGATTATGTGTGAGTGAGGTGAAAGTGTTGAATGATGATGAAAGTATTTTCTTTTTGGGGATTTTCTTTCTTTTTTGGGTCACCCTGCCTCAGTGGGAGATGGCCGACTTGTTAAAAAAAAAAAATCCATGCATGTTGTAAGAGGCAACTAAAATGTCAGGAGCGAGGTGCTATTAACCTTCTTGTTTTGAATCTCCCTGCCTTGGTGGGAGACAGCCTACATGTTGAAAAAAATATATAGTATATGTCTTAGGATTTATTCAGCTCAAATATATACTCTCTGGGAAAAATACCTATGTTTACAGTAGGTTTCTGCCTAGAGTGTTAAGTTGTTCCAGAAAATTCATTGCGAATTTATTTGGAACTTGGAACCAACTGTCCAAGACACCCATGTTATGCTCAAAGATGCATTTTCCATGCCATAGTATTCCTCATCTAATTTCATTTAATTTTTTACTAAGAATTACCACCCATTATTTTATATTCAATATTTTTCCTTTCAGCTTTCAAACAGCAATAACATTGTTTAAATAATGTATACACTATAACATGTAGAACAGAGAAAAAAATGCAATCCAAAATTCAGTCATACTAAGATTTCATTCAAAATATGCTCATTGAATTTCCTGTGTCTAATTCTCTTTTCTTTCATTTAATTCTTGAATGTCAGTATAAACCAGTTTAGCGTAATATTTAAAGATAAGTGCTGCAGAGCTTTCATTCATCTGACTAATTGTCCATTTTCATTTGACTTGGCACAAGACACTTGAAATTGAAAATCAACCTTAGGATTTTATTGAAAATAATATAGAGTGGTCCCTCAATAATCGTCCGGCTCGATAGTTGTCCTTTTCGGAAATCGTCGCATTATTCTCATCCAAACATTGGCTCGCAAATGGTCGGTTGACTCGCTAATCATCCTTCATCCAGGACACATATTCATGCTCTGAGCCGCCTCGGCCTCCCTTCCCAGCCAGTGTGCCATTGTTTACCAGTGAGCGACGGTCCCCTCACTTGTTCATACGAAATATTTCATAATATTCCATTCATTTTAGTGCTTACAAGTGCTAAATAAGCTACCATGGCTCCAGAGAAAGCTCTTAGTGCTAAGCCTTTGGTAAAGAAAGTGAGAAATATGATTGAATTTAAGAAAAACATCATTGAACAATATGAAAGTGGTGTACGTGTGGTCGAACTGGCCAGCTGAGGAGCTGCAAGAGCTTCAGCAGGAACAGGAACAGATCGCAGCTCAGAATCTTGCTGCAGAGGAGGAGGAAGAGAGATGGAAGAAGGTGCCTTCTTCAGAAATTAAGGAGATTTTTGAAATGTGGGGTAGGATGGAAAGATTTATGAAGAAACATCACAGTGAGAAGGATGTTGCAAGCCATATCGGCAACTTGTACAGTGACAGAGTCTTGGCCCATTTTAGGGAAGTTTTAAAGAGATGCCAGAAACAGTGCTCTCTGGACACTTTTTTTTGTGAGACAGGACTCTAGTGACTCTCAAGCTGGTCCTAGTAGTATTAAGAAACAGAGAAGAGAAGTATGTAACCCCAGAAAAGAACTTGGTACCTGAGGTGTTGATGGAAGGGGATTCCTCTTCCAAAGAGTAACTAATGCAATCTGTATCCTCCTCCAGTCTTCCATACACTAAGAAGAATTGCCAATAAAGGTAAGTGTTATGCTGTTAATGCTTCATTCATCATGTGCCATTGTATTGTTTATGTACTACATCTATATTTCATGTAAAAAAAATTTTTGTTTTAATATTTCTGGGTGTCAGGAACGGATTAATTGTATTTACATTATTTCTTATGGGGAAAATTGATTCGAAAATAGTATTTTTCGATAATCACCGCACTTCCAGGAACGGATTAATGACGATAAATGAGGGACCACTGTACTTCTTGGGTTTCCTATGCTTAAATCCATTTTCTTTGTTTTGTTTTGTTTTTATAAATGTTACTACTGAATAAACCACTTCAGAATAAAATTTAGGGGATATTGTTAGAAAAGAGCAAACTTAAGTACAGTACTCTCATCCCATGTATCAGAACAGTGAGTCCATTTTTTTTTTTAATACATTGGCCATTTCCCACTGAAGCGGGGTGATCCAAAAAGAAAGAAAAATACTTTCATCATCATGGAGAAGTGGAATAAGAATCTTTCCTCCATAAGCGATGCATATTGTAAAAGTCAGCTAAAATGCCAGGAGCAATGGAGTAGTAACCCCTTTTCCCATATAACTTACTAAAAAGAAAAAAGAAGAGTCCATATTTGTGAGTCATTAATTGGTTCCAAAGTGCCAACATCATAAAACTGGTAGTACATTATATGTTCGAATAGAAGCTGAGGATCTACTGTACAATTCATCTCTGTACTGTTACTTACAGTGAGCCAGGACACAAAGGTAATAAAAAATAAAAGTCTGTCCAGTAACAAGTGATTATATTTCTAAGGTCAGTAAATTAGCAGCTTATTTAACTATTCTATACATAGTTTATGTGCAAAACAACCACAAGGGGAAGTGTTTTGCATCTTAAATCACTTGTTCGTGATTTTTGCATGTACAGTGGACCCCCGGTTAACGATATTTTTTCACTCCAGAAGTATGTTCAGGTACCAGTACTGACCGAATTTGTTCCCATAAGGAATATTGTGAATTAGATTAGTCCATTTCAGACCCCCAAACATACACGTACAAACGCACTTACATAAATACACTTACATAATTGGTTGCATTCGGAGGTGATCGTACAGTGGAACCTCAAAAATCGAACTGCTCCCAACTCAACCAATTATGTAAGTGTATTTTTGTAAGTGCTTTTATAAGTGTATTTTTGAGGGTCTTAAATGGTCTAATCTAATTTACATTATTCCTGATGGGAATAAATTCGTTCGGTAGTGGCACTCGAACAGCCTTCTGGACCGAAGAAAGTTCGATATTTGAGGTTCCACTGTATTTTATATGTACATGTATAAGCTATTATATCACTTAGGTATATATTTCAGTAAAGTATTTATTTTTTACATAATTTATAGCAAAAATAATGAAAATATGCCAAATATGCAGGGGCGAGTTTTACTCCAACCACCAGACAGCAGCAGTTACTAGATTGAAGTTTCAGTTCCACATCTGTGAGGTTTCAGCTCACACTGTGAAATGTTCAAAAAAATCTTGACAGTCCTTTCAACTCATGTGGCTTAGAAATTGGACCACAAATCACAGACTCTCAGACTCATGCCATTGTGGCACTGAGTCAAATTGTTTAAAGCTCCTTCTAGTATCATTAAACTTTTGTGTGCTAATGTTGTGTACAATAATAAATGAGGCATATAGAAAAGTGAAAAGTTTATTCAGACATGTATCAGTTACATTACCACAGCATAAGCAATCAATTTCAGAGACAGCTGACTAGAGGAGGGTACATTCCAGCCATTCATACACTCGCCAAGTCACTTTTTTTTTTTTCTCAACAGGTTGGTCGTCTCCCACCGAGGCAGGATGACCCAAAAAAGAAAGAAAATCCCCAAAAAGAAAATACTTTCATCATCATTCAACACTTTCACCTCACTCACACATAATCACTGTTTTTGCAGAGGCGCTCAGAATGCAACAGTTTAAAAGCATATACGTATAAAGATGCACAACATATCCTTCCAAACTGCCAATATCCCAAACCCCTCCTTTAAAGTGCAGGCATTGTACTTCCCATTTCCAGGACTCAAGTCCGGCTATTTAAAAATAACCAGTTTCCCTGAATCCCTTCACTAAATATTACCCTGCTCACACTTCAACAGCTCATCAGGTCCCAAATACCATTCATCTCCATTCACTCCTATCTAACACACTCACGCACGCTTGCTGGAAGTCCAAGCCCCTCACCCACAAAACCTACTTTACCCCCTCCCTCCAACCTTTTCGAGGACGACCCCTACCCCGCCTTCCTTCCCCTACAGATTTATATGCTCTCCATGTCATTTTACTTTGATCCATTCTCTCTAAATGACCAAACCACCTCAACAACCCCTCTTCAGCCCTCTGACTAATACTTTTATTAACTCCACACCTTCTCCTAATTTCCACACTCCGAATTTTCTGCATAATATTCACACCACACATTGCCCTTCGACAGGACATCTCCACTGCCTCCAACCTCCTCCTCGCTGCAGCATTTACAACCCAAGCTTCACACCCATATAAGAATGTTGGTACTACTATACTTTCATACATTCCCTTCTTTGCCTCCATAGATAACATTTTTTGTCTCCACTTATACCTCAATGCACCACTCACCTTTTTTCCTTCATCAATTCTATGATTAACCTCATCCTTCATAAATCCATCCGCTGACACGTCAACTCCCTAATATCTGAAAACATTCACTTCTTCCATACTCCTCCTCCCCAATTTGATATCCAGTTTTTCTTTATCTAAATCATTTGATACCCTCATCATCTTACTCTTTTCTATGTTCACTTATGTCACTTATTTCATCATATTAAATGGGAAAATAAAGGATTAATATGATTTAGCCTTCTTTTCAAGACATGGTAATTCTCTGAATGATAAATGAGTATGGGCATTCACTGAAAGATGTCGAGCCACAATTATGCAGTGCTAATAGCTAAGGTAACATTTGTTGTCAGTCCATAATCACTGCAGTTTGCACAGTAGTTAGTTTTAAGTGGATTTGTGTTGTTGATTACTAAACCTAGGAACCTTGTGGAGTGAATTAGGGATTTTTGACAGTAATGTTTAGAATATAATGCAAGGCATATTAATTTTATCATTGGCCTCATTTTAAATTGCTAGATATTGTGGTATTCAAGTAAATGCATTCAGATGAAATAGCTTAAGTTCATTACTTCAGCACAGTATGGAAATAAATGAATATTCATGTAAAACTGTTTTAAAACTAGCAAATGAAATATAAGTTAACCCTGATCATATCAGCTCACTCTAAATATTGTATCAAGGAGACACACTTAAGTAAAGTTTTTTCTTCAAGTATTCTCAAAGCAATCTTTCAGAAAAACCTTCATAAAGTAGTACTGTACCTAGTTTAAGATATGTATTTCACATGCAATATTTGTTTTTGCAACATTTTGTTTTTCTTATGTTGTCCCCTCAGCACTACCTTTTTTTCTCTACCGCCTTTGTCATTTTCACTGTGGAGTGCTGAATGATCCTTAGTGGTTCAATGCTCTCTCTGAATTTAATACATGCACAGTAATACACACTAACTTGGGACTTGTGAGATTGCTGCCAGTATCTATGGTCGTCATTAATGGCTAAAAAGCTGTTTTGTATCAACTACAATTGGGCTTCTGGCTGTCCTATACACATTGCTGCTGACTGGGGAAAAAAAACTTGAACTTCTGCATATTGATCACTAGACTCACTCATGGCCATCTCACTAAGGTTTACCTGGCTTCACTCAGTAAGAATTCACACACTATCAATTCATATTTTGGACACCTTCAATGCTTTTATACTCCTACTGTTAATGTAGACACATTACAATTTCTTACCTGACACAACTTTGCTGCATCACTTATGACATCCTTGCTCCTTCCCCTCCTCCTTCCTGCCGATGTCTTATCCTCCTGCTCTCCCATCTCTTTGATGAAATCTGTTTTCCTCTCATTACCCAGTTACTGTATGACCCTTTAGGTTTATGGCCTAATCATGAACATAACAGTAATAATCCCCTTTGGATCAGACCTGTTTGCTTCCCATTCCCCAGATGCTGTGTAATGTTGCTAATGCAAGTTACAATGGTTGTTCTGTATAAGTTATGTACAGTAGGCAGAGTTATAGCATTTGGCTAGAATTTTTGGATATAATACAGTTTTTTGGTTATGGAAACAGGTTTTGTGTTTTCTGCTTAAAACAGAGAGTATTCTAGCTATGTTCTGTCAGATATGCTTTTATACATAAAACCCAGGGACCCTTCAAAGAGGGTTCCTCATTGCTGAAAAAGGGTTCTTGAAATAAACAACTGGACTTCTCAAGGGCAGTTTCTTGGCATCAGTTTGTATGACACTTTAGGGTTTAGCACTTGATTATATTATTGATTATCCTTGACACCAGTGAGGAGCCCATAATGTAAGGAATTGGATC